TGCGGCTGCGGCTGCTGCTGCTGCTGCTGCTACTGCTACAGCTACTGCTACTGCTGCTGCTACTGCTACTGCTACTGCTACTGCTTCTACTGCTACTGCTAAGACTACTTGCTGCGGCTACGGCCACCGCCACTACTGTTTGCATCCAAAATGTTATGATTCCTATTTTGGTTTCTTTGATTGCAGATGTTGATGTGCTGGTCTGTGTTGATTTTTGATCCCTGAGCCCAAGAGACCTCCAAATCCAGCATTACTAGGGTCCTTGCATTTCAGTTGGCGCCTTCGATCTTGCGAAAGGAAAATACAGAATATCCTTGCTTTCCTACACGTTTTTAGCTAAACTTGCACTGCGAGGCCGGGGAAGCCTCCTTCCGGTGCTGTGCTTGTCTCGACGCTGAGCGGCAGTGCTTCGAAGTAGCGCAATTAGGGGTATGATTGGCATTCGTCCTTCTGAAAGCTGCCGTCCTTTCACCCAACATAACGCTTCTGAAGTCTCGTGAAATTTCGGCAGCCAGGAGATGATTTAGGGGAACATTCCGGGTCTTCACTCGGCACTGAATCTCGAAAAGGGTTTTGAGTTCGGACCCAAAGCTCCTCGGGAGCACCTTTTGATTCGCGTTGATGCTTGCGAGTGCGAGCGGCGGATCGTGTTGTTTTTGGTTTGAGGCCGTTAAGACTCACACCCAACCCTAAATTTCAGATTGAGGTTTAGTTCGCAGGATTGTGTGTGGGGTCGCTCCTCCTGTAGTCTGAACCAGCTTAAACTCCGAGGCTGACACTTGCTTTTCATGCCAAGCCGAGCACCAAGCTGCAGATAAGCGGCGTTTCGCTAATCAGGATGAGCATGGCGACGGGGAAGTTGCGGCCGATGCACCTGCAGAGGGGCCGCAGCAAGACGCAGGCCCACTCACGACGGGAGATAGAACTTCGGTCTGCCTAAACCTCAAACCCCAAACATACCGAGGAGGGATGATTGTGAAAGAGAAAGCGGTCCGCTTCAGTGCTCAAGCACCAGGTATGGCAAATGCAGACCCCCACGTACAGGTAGAGCGTATGGTGCATGTCGCTCCAGCGGAGCCAGCGGAAACCCTCACAGTGACGGTGCTGCCCCACCGATGGGAGCATAATCCTCGCTCCACCTACGGCCGCCGGTCCGCAAGGCCTGGCAGTGCCCCCGTTGCCCCCCCGTTGCGGCTGGATGCACTGCAACCGATGCTGCCGTGAGCACATGGCCGTCGGGGTAGTACCTCGCATCGACGGCCTTGGGGAGTACGATGGGCCCCGAATGCCGCATTGGGGCCCCGAAATCCCACATGCGACCCCCTTGAGCGGCCGCATGTGCCGTGATACTGGCAGACGCCGCGAGCGCAAGTAGGGTGCTCCCGCCCAGAGGAAGTTCCTGTTGTCACGGCGGTTTCTGATGGCTGAGACTACAGCCTTCGGCCAGTGGCTGGACTTCTGTCTGCCCGAAGATCGGACCCGACTGCAACCCCACCGACCGCGACAAAGAAAAAGAGTGTCTGCGGGTTACCGCGAAGGGGTTTCGTAGCGGGGATAAGGCAAGGCTTGTAGTCTTTTAGACTCCCATGCTTCTGGTTGCGTAGACCTTTGCCCTCTCTTTGGGGTGTCTCCCGACTCTCTGTGAGTCGGGGGCTTCTTTGTTAGGGCTGCCGGTTTCGGGTTTGTCGCCCCTCTCTGGCGTGGTAGGCTGTCATTTTGCTTCTCCACCGATTGACCTCGCAGGTCCCAGCAGCCTCGTAGGCTTCGAGGTTTACCTGTTTCTCAGTGTGTCTGGCTCCCTGAATGGGCACCCCAATGCGACCTGGATTTTTGCTCAAGTTGAGCCTCGTAGGCCCAAGGATTCGGTGGTGCTTTCTGGCCTTGTAGGTTCAGACACTACATTCGCAGGAGCCTTTCGCACTCTCGAGCGTACTTGTCGTTTGGGTTTTTCCGAGGATGTGCACCATGCCTTCTTGGCAGAGCGTACTTGTTCAGTTCGGTTTCTGTCGTTGATTTTGTGGACACTCGCCTCTGCCTGTCCTTGAACCCTGGTTCAAACTTTAGGGAAATCAGACTTAAAGTGGGTTCTCCAACCCTGGGTCTGCTCGGGTCAGATCCCAACTCAGACTTGGTGTTGGCTGTCCAGATTGCGCTGCGAATTGGTGGGCGTGCTCTGAGCCTCCGGCACACCTGCGAGATGTGCCTGAAGGCCAGTACCTTTTGGCGTTCATTATTCAGGAGCAACGGCTCTTTTCTACCGAAGCAGCTGCAATACAAATGACAGTTGCACAGAATTTGCAGGGGTCGTTCAGTATACATGTTACGGCGAGCCCTTCAAATCCGGTACTTGTGGCATCGATTGGTGTCGCTGTGCCGTCAGTGGCTTTCAGTTGAGCAGAAGCCCCATCAGCCGAAACATTTCTGAACACCTTCCGACCTCCCTGTTATGTGGAGTTTCAAAAGTCGAAACCAGAAAAGCCTGGCATTCCTAGAACCTGAAAATCCCGCCCTTTTTGCCTCCTAGCCACGGAAGGTTTTCTTCTGACATCTGACTGGGATCTTGGGGCCAGGACTCACAAGCCGCTTGGTTTACGGGTAGTCCTGTATCGGGCCGGTCCGGATTTCTGGTTTAGGGTACGTGCAAGCAGACATTCAGGCGATTGCACAAGTCCTGATGCAAAAAGGGTAAGTGCGAGATTTGCATAGACCAGGTAAGAAGGGTAAGTGCGGGTTCAGGGACTTTAGTGTTGTTGAAGGCCTTGGGCTTGAAGTCCATTTGACTGCCGGGGGGTAGTCCAAGGCAGTGGATGACTCGGGCTTCAGGTTTACAACACAACGCCTCTTCTAGCAACATGGGATATAGGGTTTGGAGTTGGCATACGTCGGCTTCGGGTCAAGATGATTGCCGGTCGTAGTGTGGCTAGGTTTGAGTCCAGTAGGCAACAGGTTTGGCCTTGTGTCACGAGTAAACGGCCGTCAGGAGCATGCACGAACACCGCACGAAAGAAGACCAAGACTCAACTGAGCCCAAAGCTCTGGTTGAACCCGGAGACCTTAAAAGCAACATATTGGCACTAAGAGTAGCCTCAATAGTAGCCCGTATATCCTGAGCCGAAACCGCAGGGGCCAATCTGAGCCTTCAAAGCTTCATGCGAAACATTGGAGGTGCATTAAAACTCGCATATGTTCATGCGGTGATTCACTCATAGTTATATCAGCAACACGTACTAAATGTATTTATGTAGGTGCATGTGCATGTGCTGGAATATGCACATGCCAATACGTACATAGATGCGTCTGTGCACACAGATGCAGTGACGCACGTGCAGAAACATGGATGTTCATGCACGTCTATAGCTCCTGCATGGGATCTGAGGCCATTCACCACGGTTTGCGATCCTGATCATTGCTACTTCTCCGGCCTAGGCCCGGGAAGACTGACGGTTCAGGGCAAGTTCAGGCCTTGGCAGGCGAGGTTTAGGTCCATTTTGCGGCTTGGGTCTTGAAATCGCGGAGAATCGCAAAGCAGTCTGTTCCAGGTGCAGGAGCCCGACTTCCTAGAGACCCTACACGTGGCTTTCGGGATTGCTTGAAACCGCTATCCAGTGCCTCTCCGTCCCATGGACGGTCGGAACGCCGTAGGCCCCATGCAGGTGCCGAGCGCGTTTGGGCAGCTGGTCTGGCCTTGGCCCGGCATTTGTGGCAGTGGTCCTGGTCCGGCTCACCCTCTGCAGCTTCGACAGAGTTTACTTGGAGGTTCATGGGTAGTTATAAGTAGGGTTATAAGTAGGGTAACTATAATTATAACCCACATTAGGGGACTTATAGCCCCACTTATAACTACCCATGAACCTCCAAGTAGGGTTTCGGGTTTAGGTGACAGAGGTCGGTCCGGCTGAATC